ATCCAACACATTCAAGTTATATAATTTAATTCCAAGCCAAAGTACTAATATAACATATACAAAGGACAATGTCAATATAATGTGACTCCTACTGTATCTTACTTTCTAACTCAAAGTATATTACTTCTGATCGTACTCATTTTACAAAGTTTACCATAAGTATTTATACTAAATATCGAAAATAGACAATACTCAATTAACATGACAATACTCAAATTAAAATGACATTTCATAACTTTAAGCTATAAGTGACAGCATTCACATTAATTAATATAAAAGATAATTATAATTTATAATACTCATATAATCTTATTCTTTCATTTTCCTATACAGTAATTTTCACACCTTTAGTATGAATTAATGTCTTTCATATTAATTTCTGTTACTCAATAAATAAATCTGTCACAAACATTTGAAAATCATATGTCACTAATTAAGATTAACACATTATTTGTCTATACATGTAAATATTTGAATTTGTAAATAATATCTTTTCCAAAAGTCCAATTTCTAAATAAATGATAAAATCAGAATTAAGTCCAAATAAGCCTGGTGACAAATGGCTCCTCCTCAACAAAAAACACGTCCTCGTGTTTCCGAAGTTAATAAAATCGTCCTCTATTGTTCCTGCTGTAGTAACTAGAATTAAACGGTTGTCCTTGATTATAAACATTCTGTGGTTGATTCCATGTCTGTTGTTGTTGTTGTTGTTGCAATTGTTGCTGATATTGTTTTATCTGCATCTCAAGCTGTAAAATCTTTATATCATATTTTTCTCTTTCTTCTCTTCTTCCCATTGTTGATTCTTTAAATATATCTACCGTCTTTTGTAACTGATCATAATCTAGTTGAAGATCTAAGTATATCGGATGTTTTTTCACTATTTCATTATACTCTGCATCTATTTTACTTTTCTCTTTATGTTGTTGTTTCATTAAATTAGTATTCACTGTTATTATCCTTAAATTTTCTGCCCTTAATAATTCATTTTGCCAATATAGATCATTAATATTCAGGTTTTCTGGTGTTGATTTAAATTTTTCCAATTCTTGGCGAAAGTCTTCATTTTGTTTCACATATAGTTGTGCTCTTTCCCACATTGTGTGCAGCTGCTCTTTTAGATTACTGATTTCTTCATCTTTTTGACTGTTCTGATGTCTAAAATTTTCACGGTCAATATTATTCTCCTTTAATTTTTCTTTAATTCTTTTTAGCTCTACTTTTGTTGAATTATTTGTTTCTAAAACACTTACGAAGGCTGTATTTCTGATATTTGAAAATGGTAATTCAAACATTGGTTGTTTTCTGTCCATATGTTGAATGAATGGGGATCGGTCCCTTTCTGTTCTCCTCTTACCTTTCACTTTTTTATTCCTTATAGTTGTTTGTTGTTCTTCCAAAAGTGCTTTCAATTCAAAACCACCACCTCTCCAACCACAACCAACAAATGACATTTCCGGCCGATGGCATATGGATATTTTAAGTGGACTTCCAACAACAAAAGATAAATATAAACATGTTTTACTCGTAGTTGACAGCTATTCGAAATGGTGCGAAGCTTTTCCGTTAAGATCTGAGGAAGCAGGTGAAGTTGCAAATGTTTTATATAGAGAAATAATATCCCGTTATGGTGCTCCTAGGACTCTATTATCTGACCGCGGACGTAATTTTGTTTCAAATTTAGTTAAAGCTCTTTCGGAACTGTTCAATATTAAAAGACACCTTACTAGCTCATACCATCCGCAGACAAATGGTGCATGCGAAAGAATGAACTCTGTAATTTTACAAGCATTAAGAGCCTATACAAGAGATCAACAAGATGATTGGTATGATGTACTACCAGGAATTTTAATGGCCTATCGTGCTACGCCGGCCACTCAATCAACCGATTATTCACCATTCTTTTTACTTTATGGACGAGAAATGACATTACCTATTGACACCGCGCTAATACCAAAAGATCGTTTGGCACAAGACCACAAAATATTTTTAAGCAGAATACTTCAAAATTTGGAAACTTCAAGAAAAATAGCTGCTAAGAACATCAAGCAAGCTCAAGAAAGATATAAACAACAATATGACAAAAAATCTAAAGAACCTGAATTTCAACCAGCTCAACGTGTTTGGCTTTATTGTACCAAAGTTCCTGTCGGAAAAGCACCAAAATTACATAGAAAATGGTCCGGACCTTATTATATTACCCGTATTGGACCCAATAGTACTTACAAACTTAGAAATTGTGCAACAAACAAAGAGGTTAAGTCAATGGTAAACGCGCAACGAATGAAGCCATATTACGATCCAAAAGACAGACCGACTAATTTACCAGAGGATTTTCAAAATGACAACGAAGAACTGAATCCAGAAGAAATACAAGATGACAACATCAATGATAATGATCAACTTTTACCAAACAACTATCAACAACCTGTGCCACTAATCAACAATGGAATAAATAGACAACAACCACCCGTTCCTGTAATTGACAACAATAGGCCAACTCAGAACCAACAACAACTTCCTGTTGATAGAATCAACAACAGACAACAAAATCAACAACCAGCACAAAATAGTGAAACAAATAAGAGAAATGCGGGCCCTTCAGGAGATTCAACCGTAAATGCACCAGTAAAAGACAACAAGCCATCTTGTCAGGATTGTAAGAACAATAAGTGCAAAGCTTTCAAAGAAGAGGAGATTCAACAAGTTTTATCGTCAGTCAGAGGTAACGGTACATTATATTATAAACTTAAGTTTACCGATAAATTAAGAAACACAGAATGGTATTTTCCGTGCAAGGTCCCAGCAAAATTAATACGAGAATTTCATGCGCAACGAACAATGAGTGGTAAGAAAAGAAAACGCCCATTACAGCAGAATAAACATAAATTTTTCACAAAACCGGATCCAGCTGTTAATAGTGTACAATATATTTCAAGTAAAGTCACAGCTGATATAAGCACACAAACTGAAACCATCAATGAACAAGATCAAGCAAAAGAACATCAACAATTATTAGCCGTAAGAATTGTTAACAACCGACCATACTTTTTAATTAAATCTGGAAATACTACAAAATACAAATCAATGACTTCAGTACCAAATACTGCACGACAAGTTTTGATAGATCATAAGGAACATTTCAAACAAGCCCTTTTACAACAAGACATTCAATTTACTATGGAGAAAAGATTAGGAAAGGAAAATCAACGCAACTGCAGTTTTCAAATAGCCTCCGATGGAAAAATACATGAAATTCGATACAACATAGATGGCACAAAGGAATATTTATCAGGATACAGAAATCCAGTCATTGCACCAGAGTGGGATACGTTTGATAGTCTGTCAAATGCATCAATAAATAACTTTATAAATGTATTAGAAACACAATACAAGATAGAAATAAGTATGCGGAGAACATAAATTTGTGAATAGTACATGTACATTTGTGAAATATGATAGTGTTTTATAGAATGAAAATAATGAATTGTAGCTACTATTTTTATAAAGCCACAAAAATGGCCAAAGAATAGATTTTGGAATAAAGCCACATAGATTGGTATTTAGAATATTATAGAGTATAGCCACATAGATTGGCAAATAATGAATTATAGAATATAGTGATTGTTAAAAGATAGATACCGGTATTGTAAATAGAGTGTATGTCTTGTATTTTTATTGTAATACTAGCTAGTATGTTTTTTGTTGTTGTTTTTTATGTTACATTTTTTAAAAGTATATTGACAATCAATGATTAAAACCATTTGGAGTTGGACTGGTCATTCAACTCCACACCCTGCACTTGTATAGGGCTGACCACTTTATACAAGGAGCATACAGCATAAAACATTTTCTTCATTTTTATGTATTTTTCAGTCTTGAATTCTTCTTTGCATATGTTTTGTCTTATTTTTGATTTTCATTATTTTGGCTTTTCATATCTTATCTGGCAATTTTCTTTATCTACCAATTTTGTCTCAAATTGCATTTTTTCATCTTGTCTTGCAAAATATGCTATCTTTATATATACATTTTCTTGTGTATATCATTCTACAAAACAGTTTATTCTTCACTATTATTGTATATATATTCTTTTATTTTGAATGTTTTTTTTTTGTACATATGTATATTTTCTCATGTTTGGGGACAAACATATTGGAGAAGGGGGGAATTTGTCATAGGTGTTCTTTTATGTAAAAGTTTTTAAAGTGAATTTTATTGAGAAAAATATATTATTTTAGAAAATATGAAATTATGAAATAATTGCATGACAAATTTTGATTTAATTACTCAGGTAAATTTTGTGAAACATGTCGCTTGTTAATAATTGCTCTGAGCAACATTTTGGTATCTTGTCAATGGTCATTAATTAATATGAGCAATATTAGGTTTTAATTAGTATCATAAATGTAATTAACTTGTATCTCTGTAATTGACATTATTCATATTTCACCTTTGGACATTTTTGAACAATAGTATTAATACTCAAATTATCTCAATTATCAAAATTATCAATGCCTGTCATTTTATGAGTAGTTTTCAGCATTCGCCTTAAATATCGGAGTCAAACAGTTATTCGTCAGTGTAGTCTCGTCGGTGTTATCCAGATAGGAGTGCTTCAAAAGCCAACCAGGCTCAGCTACTCAGGAGAAACCAGTACTCAAAAGACAGCTCAACACAACTGTAATCGTTCAAGCCGGACAACATTAACTTGGAATATTTCGAACATTTTGGACTTAAACTCAAACTGTGAATGGATTAGTGAAATTAGTGACTTTGTTATTTGGAACATTTGGACTTTATTTATTTGTAAATTGTTTTGGCATCATTATCATCATTTAGATCTGTTATTATATAAAACTGTTAAACTTGCTGCTTGCTTTATAGTTTTGCCTGCCATCGCTCAAGTCTTGTGAAAGACTGACCTCCTGTCCCTTGGGTTGTGCATGTTCGATAGTCCCCCTTAAACTCGACGTGCACTGGCCCTTGGTGACAGATATAAGAAGATGTGGTATGAGTGCCAATGAGACAACTCTCCATCCAAGTCACAATTTGTAAAAGTAAACCATTATAGGTCAAAGTACGGCCTCCAACAACACGGAGCCTTGGCTCACACTGAACAGCAAGCTATAACGGGCCCCAAAAATGACTAGTGTAAAACCATTCAAACAGGAAAACCAATGGTCTAATCTATATAAAAAACGAGAAACGAGAAACACTTATGAACCACATCAACAAACGACAACCACTGAACATCAGGTTCCTGACTTAGGACAGGTGCAAACAAATGCAGCAGGTTAAAAACTGTATCATTTAAAGCTGCTCCTAAAAAATTTACAAAACTGTACAAGATTTGGACTTCTTTTGTTCTTTTTCCTTTTTTGGAGCAGTGTTCTGTTCATTTTTATTTTGATACACTGGCTCTGGTGGAGATTCAGCAATTGTGTTGGTGGCAGCGGCAGGCTTAGGTTGTCTTACAGGAGATGGTTTGTTCTCTGTTGATTGTGGACCACCAGCCCCTCTGGTATTTCTGGAGCTGACAGGTCTTAGAGACATACTCTGATGTGCAGGTTTCGACTCTGGTTCTGTATTTCCAGATTTTTCATCATTATCCTCTTCCTTAATGCTTTGTTTTTCTTTATTTGTATCCTCACTTTGCGTAATCATTGGCATATGATCTATTTTCTCCATTAATTCATTCAATTTTGGAGACATACTCTGATGTGCAGGTTTCAACTCTGGTTTTGTATTTCCAGATTTTTCATCATTATCTTCTTCCTTAGTGCTTTGTTTTTCTTCATTTGTATGCTCACTTTGCGTAATCATTGGCATATGTTCTCCTATTTTCTCCATTAATTCATCCAATTTTGGTCCAGTCCATGTCATTTGTACTTCTTCATCACGATAAAAGTTAATAAACAATAATTGGGTAAAGACCATACTCATTGGTCCAGAAGGTGGCCAATCCATTTTCTCTAATAGCAATGGTATAATTGGTTTCTTCAAAGCATCAGCCAAACTCACTTCCCTACGACAGTTAGCTGAGAGTGAATACTTTTGTGTGATACAGGTAAGTACTACCTTACACCCACGTACACCAGAATCTATTTTCTCATTCAATGAGTCTCCACCACCCATTTGGTAGATGTCCATCCAACAACTCAGACCCATCCCCGTCAATCTTTGGTAAAAGGCCATAATCTGTTTCTGTTTACCCCATTGGTAGGATATAAAGATATCTGGTGACTTCTTGTCCTAAAATTATGAAGAAAAAAACTTCAAATTCAACAAATAAATATTTGTGAATGTTATTAAAATAAATAACTAGAGGCTATAAAGAGCCTGTGTCGCTCACCTTGGTCTATGTGCATATCAAACAAAGGACACTCTCCAACATTGTAGAGGAGAATAGACTTCATGACAAAAACCTCTGTTTTGTTGATCTTTTAGTCTGTATAGTTTCTCTCTATCTTCTTTAGTTTTTGCTCAAAACACAAAAGAGGGTAAAAAAAATCCTCTTTTGAGGGCAATCACTCCTATGAAGAGTGACAGTCTACTAACTATATAGGCAAAATTTGACTTTTTAATAGATGTTGCCTTGCTGATCATTTTATGTGATTTAAAGTGTTTATTTATCTATTATAATTTAAATCATATAAGGCATAACGGAAAATAAATGTTTTTCTCTAAATATCATAGTTTCCATGATAATAGGAAAAAAATGAAAAAAATGGTAAAATTTGTCATTTATGGGCAATAACTCCTATAAAAATTTGTGTAACAGTTTTGAGGCATATAGACAATTGGTAGAGCTCATTATTCTGAACATTTTTACTCCTTTCAGATTTTCGATATTTATAAAAGTTCAAAAAATAATAGACAAAACTATTTTACCACTATGTTCTATTTTTAACTATGTCGGCCATGTTGGTTGGTAGGCGGGGTCATCAGACACATTTTTTAAACTATATATATTCTAATGATTATTGTGGCCAAGTTTGGTTAAATTTTACCCCTATGTTCTATTTTTAGCCATGTCAGCCATGTTGGTTGGTAGGCGGGATCATCGGACACATTTTATAAACAAGATACCCAATTAAGATTGTGGCCAAATTTGGTGAAATTTGGCCCAGTAGTTTCAGAGGAGAAGACTTTTGTAAAAGATTACAAAAATTTACAAAAAATTGTTAAAAATTGACTATAAAGGGCAATAACTCCTTAAGGGGTCAATTGACCATTTTGGTCATGTTGACTTATTTGTAGATCTTACTTTGCTGTACATTATTGCTGTTTACAGTTTATCTCTATCTATAATAATATTCAAGATAATAACCAATAAAATGCTCTGCTGGGAGCAGCTTGATACGACCGCAGAGGTCGAACCCTGAACAGTTGGGGCAAGTATGGACACAACATTCAAGCTTGATACAGCACTGAATTTGGATTGTGATTAAATATTTGACACAGCATAGGTTTCTCACACAGAATGAATGTGGTCTAAGAACTTAAAATTTTTTAATTTACCTATTCAAACCATATCATTATTATTTGCTTTTATATATAAATCAGAAATAACCAATTTAAAATGGAAAATTTTAAAGAAAAAAAAAGGAAAAAAAAATCCCCCCGCCTAATTTTTTGAACCCCCTTATGATTCATCACCCCAAAACTCAATCCCAGCCTTCCCTTTGTGGTATGGTACCTTGCAGTACAATTTCAGAGAGATCCATACACTTGAACACAAGTTATTGTCTGGAAACTAGAAAAATGCTTGTTTTTTGGCCCCAAATTCCTAAACGTTTAGGGCAATTACCCCCAAACTCAAACCCAGTTTTCCCTTTGTGATATGGAACCTTGTAGTACAATTTCAGAAAGATCCATACACTTACACACAAGTTATTGTCCCGAAACTAGAAAAATGCTTGTTTTTTGCCCCTTTTTGGCCCCTAATTCCTAAAATTTTGAGGCAATTACCCCCAAAATCAATCCCAGCCTTCCCTTTGTGGTATGGTACCTTGCAGTACAATTTCAGAGAGATCCATACACTTGAACACAAGTTATTGTCTGGAAACTAGAAAAATGCTTAATTTTGGCCCCTTTTTGGCCCCAAATTCCTAAACATTTTGGGCAATTACCCCCAAACTCAAACCCAGTTTTCCCTTTGTGATATGGAACCTTGTAGTACAATTTCAGAAAGATCCATCCACTTACACACAAGTTATTGTCCTGAAACTAGAAAAATGCTTGTTTTTTGCCCCTTTTTGGCCCCTAATTCCTAAAATTTTGAGGCAATTACCCCCAAAATCAATCCCAGCCTTCTCTATGTGGTATGGAACCTTGCAGTACAATTTCAGAGAGATCCATACACTTGAACACAAGTTATTGTCTGGAAACTAGAAAAATGCTTTTTTTTGGCCCCTTTTTGGCCCCAAGTTCCTAAACACTTTGGGCAATTACCCCCAAACTCAATTCCAGCTTTTCCTTTGTGATATGGAACCTTGTAGTACAATTTCAGAAAGATCCATCCACTTACACACAAGTTATTGTCATGAAACTAGAAAAATGCTTGTTTTTTGCCCCTTTTTTGGCCCCTAATTCCCAAAATTTTGAGGCAATTACCCCCAAAATCAATCCCAGCATTCCCTTTGTGATATGGAACCTTGTGGTACAATGTCAGAGAGATCCATACACTAACACACAAGTTATGTCTGGAAGTTACAAAAATGCTTATTTTTGGCCCCTAATTCCTTAACTGTTGGAACAATAACCCCCAAAATCAATCCCAACCTTCCTTTTGTGGTATTGAACCTTATGGTAAAATTTCATAGAGATCCATTCACTTAAACTAAAGTTAAAGTGCAAAAACCCATGTGTCTTCAGACATCGACGACGACGCCGCCGCCGCGGCCGATGACGCCAACGTCATACCAATATACGACTGCAAAATTTTTTTGCGGTCCTATAAAAACTGCAAAATTTCCTTAAAATTACCAATTCAGGGGCAGCAACCCAAGAAAGGGTTGTCTGATTTGTCTCAAAATGTCATGGCAGATAGATCTTGACCTGATGAACAATTTTACTCTAAATACTTTGGTTTCAGAGATATAAGCCAAAATCTACATTTTACCCCTGAGTTCTATTTTTAGCCATAGCAGCCATCTTGGTTGGCGGACTGGGTCATCGATACCCCAATGATGATTGTGACCAAGTTTGGTTAACTTTGGCAAAGTAGTTTCAGAGGAGAAGATTTTTGTAAAAGTTAACGAAGGACGACGGACGCCAAGAGATGAGAAAAGCTCACTCAGCCCTTTGGGCCAGGTGAGCTAAATAATATTAAACTAGTTCTGGTCAACAAGCACTGTATGCATGCATGTGCAAGAGTCAAAATGTGACGTCTAGTACTTACAGTATAATCAAGTGCTCATGCATGAGTGTGATGACAAAAACTGTCTTTTGGAAAGAAATGAAGTATTGCTTCTTTTTTTTTTCTTTTTTTTTTTTGCCTAATGTTTTGTCTGTCTTTTTTAATCTATGGCTCTGAATGTGACACTATCGATCCATTATTTGCACTAAAGGTTTCAGGCCCAAAAATCATTTCCAAAGTACTTTATTTCATAATTGTTTGTAAAACATGGATTTTGTTCATGCATTCTATTTGGAAATGGCAGATTTTATGTGCTAAACAAATTGTATTTTTTCAGTAATTTTATATAAGTTAGTAGATAATAAACATATAAAACAAGATCTTTTCAAATTTATCACTTTCTCCAAAACTACAAAAGTTGGTCAGCTTAATTGAATCAACAACATAGTATTTCCGTCTTTCCTATCCTTTTTAAGCAGTTTATGAGTTTTGAAACAGACTCATCAGAATGTGTATAATTATTTCTGGAGTAATAACATAGCTACTTTTCCAACATGAAACCCACATAAAAAAAACTTGGGGTGAACTGAGATGCTCCAGAAGGGTTCCCAAAACAGAAATAATACAGATTACATAAAAAATCTTAAAAATATTTCTTCTTTATAGCTTAATAAATTCCAAACAACTGAAAAGCCGACTCTTGTAATCCTTGAGCCAAAGCAAGCTTGATGTATGTGTATAAAAGTCTAGAAAGGTCAAACATCAGTATAACTAACTATACAGTTATTTAATCATTTTAATCTACAGACAAAAATTTCAAAGGATAAAATCCAATGGTAAAATTACATATGAAAATGATTGCGATATTACCTCGTCTTTGATTTCTTTCTGCTTGGCTTGGCTCTGACTTTGTTTCTTCTTATTCTTGTCTATCACTATAACTTCCTGTACTGGTATCCACCATTTCTTGTACACTGTTAATACAAAATAACTGAATTTAAGACAAATCAAGTAGTGAGGCGGAAGGACCATTTGAGGGAATTTCGAAATTGAGCCATATAATTTGCTGGAATTATGGAATAGACAGTTATTTCATCAGGCATCCGAGAATTCAGGATTTAACATGATGTGGGAACAGACACATTATTTTCACAGGAATTCTGGATCTGACATTTATTTTCTATGGAATTTGGGATGAGACCCCGACCCTCCAACCCCCCTTCTAAGACCTTATTTAAATGTTCAGGCCTCTTGAAAAATTGACAGACTATTACTGGTTGCTATAGAAACCTAATGGGCAATATAAATGGCATTTTAGACAATTCCAATTTTTTTAATAGCTGCATATTCCAAAAGGACTCAATAAAAAAGAATTTAAAAGACCTAATGACCCATTATCCAATGTTTTACACCCCAACCCCCCATTTTTAGTCAATTTCATTAAAGACACTAACTCTGTGTTAATATTAAAGCAAAATTACCCATTTGTTCAAGAAAAGCCATTTTAAAACTGTCCATTCATTTATTTAGGGGGGAACCAAATGTTCAGAGAAAAATAAATTTCATTGTAGAATACTTCAATTTTGTGTTATTACCTATACTTACTTGATAACAGGGTTTAATATATAATGAATAAAATGAATTTTGTGCGGACATCTCGATGATAGTGAATGAGATTGAATTAACAGGTATACCAAAAATGCCTGGCCATTTTGTTATTTTTTTCTTTCACTAAACAAAGGAATGGGGTAGTCTTAATTTTCCAAATCTTTGGATTTCTCCATTTTTATACAACACAAATCTGCTGTTACACAAAAGTCACATTACTACATACAAAAAAAGACATTTCCATAAATCAGATTGAAATGTTACCTTAATACTGTCGGATTCTACAAGTATCATATTTTAAGGAGAACATATTCTAGTGTGAGTTTATGGATGATTAAAATCACAAACTTTTATTCTCCAAAAATAAACATAAAATCACAAAAAAAAAAAAACAAACCGAACAAATAAGCAATGCCAAAATAAGTCTAAAAGTAGTTTGATGGAATTTAATTTTGTAATTTGTCTTTACATTGCATTTTTATTTTACAATTTCTTCGGAAAAGTGAGCAAACTTTTATTTCATTGTGCAGTTTTTGCAAGAAAAAATACATACTATCATCAAGCAATGTTTCATCAGGCAGAATACCATAACAATTCAGCTGCATCAGCATTTCCTGGAACTTGGCAACAGGCCAAATTCTGTTATCATCTGTCTCTTCTCCAGCTCTCTGGAAAAACCTTACAAAAAGATACTCGCTGAAGATAGGTCCCATAGATCCTTTAGGTGGCCAACCCATTTTCTCCATTAACAGTGGTATCATTGGTTTACCTAAGCTTACAGATAAATTTACCTGAAAGTAATTAATACTTTATAAATTATGATTAGATGCTGTAACAATGATTTTGAGTGGGGTGGGAGTAAGGGGATCGAAGCTATGTACACAAAAATACCCAAAAAAACAAAATTTAATTTCACAATGACCAAAAAGTTTACCAGTAATTTAATTTCAGCAGGGAGAAAAATAACTATATGAAAAAAATACCTATCAATCAAAAACTATTAACATGGAAGTAAGTTAATTAAAATGGACATAAATAGTTCAACCACCATTAAATAATAATAATTCTATATCATCAGCTTCTGCAGGAAAAATCTGTGAGTAAATTCTTATAACATTCATTAATTCTAACTTAAGGGCATACGATACAGTAGAGATCCCTTGTTGATTTTTTCTTGAAATTTTGGTAGAAGGTCAATTTCGAGGGTCCCGGTAAAGTGAGAAACGGAACAGAAACAAAACAGAGCGAAACGAAACGAAACGAAACGAAACACAGCGAAACGAAATGAAACGAAACACAGCGAAACGAAACAAAACACGACGAAACGAAACACGACGAAACGAAACAAAACATGTAAATTGAGAAACGAAACGAAACAAAATCTGTATTTTGAGGAACGACCTATAGAAAATCTTCCTGACATAGCCGGAGATCAATGTGGGTTTAGAGTGCCCTTTTGATTGAAATCATCTAATCGTTTGCCTAAAAAATCGTCAAAAAAACAACATTGGTGCATGGTATGTTTATCTTTTTGGACAATTATGCCTCCCCTTTCCTTAAACTCTGGATCTGGCTTTTTTTGTATACAAAAGATCTCATTTAATCCAAAGAGAACGTGTGATTAACGGTTTATTCGAACACACATTACACACTGGGATTAACTACACTGGTTGCCGCACTAGAAAGAACGCATTACATACCAGTTCTATTGTGCTTTGTATTTTTCTATGCTTTATAGTCCCACACATTGTTATCATTAATAATATTATGATATATTAGTATGTATAACTTTTCATTCGATCACGTCTGTTAATATCATTGTATATGCAATAATCTGAAATAGATTTTTATCATTTATTGTTTATGAGTTTGTGCCAAGAAAGGTATTTGATTCATGAATGAAACACTTACATGTACGTATCCCAAGTGAAATAACCATAGCCAAAATATGTAAATGGTATGGACACTTTGCCATACATAACTTTAGGTAGTAGGATCCAAATGTTCAAGTTGAATGAATTCACCCTATATGTGGCTACAACATTGTCAAGTCCGACCTGGGACGTCAAAGGGGGGATTGACCACGTTGCGACCTGACGTCTCTTTTGAAAGTACATGTGACCTTTAAAATGTTTAAACCGAGAATCAAATCAATTTATGAGTTTGTGCCAAGAAAGGTATTTGATTCATGAATGAAACACTTACATGTACGTATCCCAAGTGAAATAACCATAGCCAAAATATGTAAATGGTATGGACACTTTGCCATAAATAACTTTAGGTAGTAGGATCCAAATGTTCAAGTTGGATGAATTCACCCTATATGTGGCTACAACATTGTCAAGTCCGACCTGGGACGTCAAAGGGGGGATTGACCACGTTGCGACCTGACGTCTCTTTTGAAAGTACATGTGACCTTTAAAATGTTTAAACCGAGAATCAAATCAGTTTAGAACTGAATAGTTTGCTTAAAAGTGACCTGGTGACCCGAGGCAATTTTGATCGTGACCTTGTGATCTAAAGTGGGTACTGGAGCAAACTTTTCTCCTTTTATTCATACAATATTGTATGTTCGACTCGTTATGTTCTACTTTCTTTTTTAAACTTACGGTACCGAATATTGTGTTTTGTTATTCGCCATTTATCTTGACAGACGCATGTTACTAGGCATTGTATCTACCACATTTTCAAAAGATAAGCTACGAAGTACATACGGCATCTCCATACAGTTGAAGTCGATGGTACCTGTTGCAAGTTGTTTAAAAGGTTGATATGAGTTGAACTTGTAACGAGATTATGTCTTGCCTGATTTGCAACAAAATGAAAGAAGAATGTCATCATGGTCATGGACTGCCATAATACAAAATCTTTGAAACTTAAAAAATAAAGATGAAACGAATACAAACTGGAATATGTTATAGTTATTGATCAAGCAAGTCGGTATAATATATCATTTAATCTGCACGGCTCGGGTGACCCTAACTGACCCGAACGAGCAGATTAAATATATACCGATTTGATTGGCCAATAACTGTTTTAACACATGACACCATCAATCTATGTGAACATTTTGGAAATATATGCGGACGATATTCCGCAATCCACGGCTCCTAGGAAAGTTTCTTGTAGGATAAAGAAAGGGGGAAATACGCTTTTATGTAGTTAAAATTGGGTAAATATTAAATTATTAACTTTTTTCATATTTAGGTTTTCTTCCTAAAAAATTGTTACCGGTACATTATTTTGAGAATTGCGATTTAATGGTAGCTTTTTATTTTTTATCATTTCTGTTAAATTTATTCACAATTTGTATATAAGTTATAGTGACGAATTTGAAATGGATATTTTGTGTAGACACCTATCTATTGTTGAAATTATACTATATGTTGCCTTCTAGATGGCCTTAGTTTGTTCTTGTCATTTGGTTGCTGTCTTATTGACGTGTAACCTACATTTCATACAGTTTTAGTTCCGTTGAGTGTACTTTTAAATAGGTGCATGAAAAATCATAACTAAACTGGTTATTGTGTATAGATTAATTGTCTTTCTTTCCCTCAATAATTCTAAGAAGATGAACCAAAGAGAGATGTACACAGGCACTTGTTTCTATCAATATATAATACATATGAATAGTCGACCTTCCCATGTGGAGATGTACCTAAATTAAAAATATTAATATGTAAACAGAAAATAATGTTACACTTTTCAATCTTTGACTTCCCCCCCCCTCCACTGTATCAATTTTAAAGACATGTCGCTTCTAAGCAAAATCTGATTGATCTGTAGCTTATCCCCAACCTGTTTTGATACAAACTTAAATATGTTCCTCATTAAATTCGATCCCAAAACTTAAAAGGCATACATATCTAAATAGTCGTAATTAATTCCATTGAGCATGAAACTAATCCAAATCAGATTTTATTTATTTGGATATTTTAAAATACATTTCTTTTTCGGCAGAAATTACAAAAAAAATAATTATTATCTGGTTTGACTGGGAAACACTGATTTCAGATGTACATTGTATACAAAATATTATAAAATATTTTATGTCCCACCCTTTGAGTGGAAAACATATCATGTTTTAGCATAAAATCGTCTATTTTGGAGTGAAAAAAAATTTGATGTTTTAAATAAATTAGATGTTTTTGATGGTCCTTTGGATTCTGTTGACAGTTTTGACTTTTCTACTCTTTACACTACACCTCCACACAAACGTTTTCCTATTTAATAAAATGGTCGTTTGGAAAATCTGAATGCGAATTTTCTACTCTTTACACTACACCTCCACACAATCTTATCAAACAAAAGTTTTCTTATTTAATTAAATGGTCGTTTGGTAAATCTGAATGCAAATATATTTGCTGCAATTCATTTAAAGCCTTATTCTCTAATGAGAAAGGTAAATATGCTAGATATACTTACTGGAGGTGTGATGAGATGATTGAAGCTGTTAATTTCCCCTTGATAATATTTATGTACGATTTGGCAACAAATTTATCGACAGGTTGTAGGTATTCCAATGGGCACTAATTGCGCCCCTTTAATTACAGACTTGTTTTTGTACTGTTATGAATCATAGTTTATGACCACACTAAGTAAAGACCCGTCAAAATTGCATTTAATTGATAAATTCAACAACACTTACCTTTATCTTGATGATATTTTTTTGTTAAAAAATCAAGAATTTTCTAAATATACTGCCGAAATTTACGACAAAAGGGACGATTTTTCGTTCCTGATTGTTATTTATCCCTTTTTGGATGGTGATGTTCCATTGGCACCATCTTATCGTGTTTGAATTTCACAACTCGTTCGCTATGCCCGTGTCTGTTGTGACGTTTTTGATTTTAACGAACGTATTACTGGTAAATTATTAAGCCAGGAATTTCGTTACCACAGATTACTTAAAACTTTTACTAAATTCTTCCATAGATATAAAGATTATGAAGTTCAAATGGGATAGCACATCCTAATCTTTATGGAAATGTTGTTTACCGTGCCCGGAAATTTAGAAACGATCCTGGTAAACTTGTCGATCCTTGAAATAAACTTATTCTAAAAGGTTACCAATTCAACACTGTAATTAGATCATTGAAAATTGTTTTATTGGTATCAATATTGATTTTGTTGTCAGTAAATTAAAAGCAAACTAAATATTATTGTTATATTCATATAAACATTCATGGATCTACAATCTGTCGATACCTATCTCTTGGCATTGCACAAGGTCGTGTTTTTCCTCTGACTGTTAATGACGTCTTTACACTAAATCCATTGGATGTTGGATGTGTACTGATTAATAATTTAGTCTTAGATGCATGATTTTTTTACAAGTATACCCGGCCACGTCCACTCTGTGTGTTTTTGTTAGATGTATGTTATTTGTATCCATCTGATGAGTTAAGCCTTTTTCAACTGATTTTTATAGTTCGTTCTTATGTTGTACTGTGACACCACTGTCCCCGGTTTGGGGGAAGTTGGGATCCCGATAACATGTTTAACCCCGCCACATTCTGTATGAATGTGCCTGTCCCAAGTCTACAAGAGCCTGTAATTCAGTGGTTGTCAATTGTTGAAGTGTTACATATTTGTTTTTCGTTCATTTTTTGTATAAAAATTAGGCCGTTAGTTTTCTCGTTTGAATTGTTTTACATTTGTACGTCATTTCGGGGCCTTTTATAGCTGACTATGCGATATGAGCTTTGCTTATTGGTGAAGGCCGTACGGTGACCTATAGTTGTTAATTACTATGTCATTTGGTCATTTGTGGAAAGTTGCCTCATTGGCAATCATATCACATCTTCTTTTTTTATATTCGCTATATGTACACTCTGTGATATTTTTAAAATTTTATATGGAATTACACTCCTTTCAAAATCGAGGGTCCGCCCCTATAGGTAAGAGTACTTTTGAGCTGTGCAGTATATCTGAGGTAGTAAATGCACACCTTTGCTGTGCATTATCAAGATTATAGCACAGTTAGAACAAAGAGATTTTACTCATGTCATATGTTAAATATCCATAGGACAGTATGACTCGCTTAAAATATCAAATTTTCATCTTTATTGAATCGCAAATTATGGTTCAAATTCCTAATTTGGCATACATTTCAAAAAGAACATGTCATAATGAACATGTGCATAGTTTCAAGTTGACATGAACACAACTCCATTGTAATTTAATCTACCTTAACAAACAGAATAAACCTAGTATTGGACTGACGGACTGCAGCACAGACCAGAAAACATTATGCCCCACTACCATAGGCGGTACATAAAAATCCTAGTCACAAAGATAAGAATGGGCAATTTTGTTTGAGGCTGATATTCAGACGATCCACAGTACGTAGTAACAGCTATTCTAATTTCAATGTTCCCTCATTGTTGCACGTGACAAGAAGCCTTAATATTAGAACAGGCTCTGTAGCATAGCTGACGCACCTAAGCCTCACATTTAACAAAAACAAGTTGATTAATTGCAAATATTGCACGAAGATACCAATGTAAATGAGAGTAATTTTTTCAAAGTTGAATGGAATATTCGGTGTCTTCAGCTATGCACATATCTCGTCAGGAAGATTTTCTATAGGTCGTTCCTAAAAATACAGATTTTGTTTTGTTTCGTTGTGTTTCGTTTCGTTTCGTCATGTTTCGTTTCATTTCGCTGTGTTTCGTTTCGTTTCGCAATGTTTCGTTTCGTTTCGCTCTGTTTCGTTTCTGTTCCGTTTCTCATTTTACCGGGACCCCAATTTCGATGTGTACTTTTGAAATATGCAAAGAAAAATATACCTTCATGACTTACTTTTTGAGATAATTTGGTTCGAAATTTGCATATTTGAAGGAAAAACCCTGAAATTTCATAAATAAGGACTTTTAAGGAAAGTACCAATACTTTTGAAAGAACAGTCATAATTTATCCGGGTGTTTCGTACAATGTTCTCTTGATCCATGGCATCAGCATGTTGTAACAAGTTAATGGTTGACATAAATAATTATATCCGAAATTCTTTTAATACAAGTGAAATAAAGAAGTTGAAAATATTTTTGCATCTACACAGAAGTGCAGAAAAAATTCTATCGTTGATTTTTTTTTTAAATTTTGGAGGAGCGTTCTTGAAACAGGACTTGATCGATTGCAAAAGAAAAAACTGGGGGTCCATGTGCTTGTTTTTTGAACAAAAGCAATAAACCTTAATTTTTATTGGCAAACGGCACCAAACTATGTTGGAATAAGTTTTATCCGCAACAACGTTGTGAAATCTTTCCCACCGTTCACTATACTACGTTGTCAATTTCAGTGGTAAAGCCAAGGTGTTTTTTTTTTTAAACTAATGATATTAATCATAAAAATTAATAAAGCTGGCTCCTCGTAAAATAGCATCATATTTGCCAAACCTTTATGAATTGTTACGAAACTTGGATAGAAAAAGTATTCTAGTAAATTACTTTTTAAAAAGAAATGTTCGGAAACAAAACAGATATATATAATAAAAAAATTAATTTGCATCTCTGTCCGACATTAGTCATACAATTCATGTAGACAACACAGCTTGAACATAGTTTTAATTATTCAAAAGGCCCCGACATGACAAAATGTGCAACAATTATAAAGTAAGGGGATGATATAAAAATAAGAACATTTGGTATGATTGCAAAAGAGACAACTATCAACCATAGTTCAAATGACGAAGATAAACGCTATTAAAGGTAACCCTACGGCCTTCAAAACAAAATAAAAAAAGAAAAAGAAAATGCCACACCGTATAGTCAGCTTTAAAAAGCCCCGACATGAAAATGTGAAATAATTCAAACAAGAAAACTAACGACCTACTCTATAGGCATTACATGAACACAAAATCATACCCACATTAAATCGGGTCAGCTTAGTCAATTACAGTGTAGTATAACATTTCATACAGCAGTCAATATTAGAGCATGAAATTGAATGATTCTGTATCAATAGATTAGTTACCTAAGCTTGTTTTCAGGGTACTTTTTTTTTATTACGGTACATATAATCATTGAATTACTTGTCTGTATTATACCTTCAATCTAGGAGTGAGTGCAACCACATTGTTTGTCCGGTCAAACAAATATTTTGTTTCTTATCTGAGAAACTACTTTACAAAAAGACTTCGTAATTGATCAGTAACTTAACATCAATGAGTTGCAACTCTGGTCTGTCAAATACCTAATTCCTGTGTGCCGATTTTCCTCTCTCAATATGTACATAGAGGATATGCTTAGCACATCAACGGGTGCGTTTTTGTTTTTGGTCTATAATACGGGGCTTATAACTGAGTCATTTTAACTGACAATTCTTCTTCATACACTTATATATTCCACGGGTTAATTTCTAAAAATGCCGTTAAACTCTTTAATGTACCTTTTCAAAGTCAGGAACAGTAAGATGCGCTGTCATTATTTATTACGTTTTTTTGTCATTTTGTTGATAGTCTCTGTTAAATTTATCCGTACAATTCTCATTACGATTTAGAGTTAGCCAAATGGTGAAGTTACTATATAAATTACTTATGTTTTTTTTTGTGTAGTTGGGTTTCTCTCTCATCGACGTCTTATGTTTTTCATATCTCTAATTCATTTCCTATATGAAATAACAGACATACAAAATTAAGAATGTGGATTTGATTTTTTTCCCATTCGAAGTTAATATTGTTGACTTCCTTATTAATGAATAAATATAACAATTCTCGTGATTTGGCCGATTTTCATTGCAGGTACTTTTTTCAAATTCGCGCAATCGGGATTATGACGTCATTGGATTTTCGCAAATGTGACATCTAAAGCGACATCCCCAAATGTAATCGTTCTTATAAGAAACATCGCGAAATTACAACGTACTGATTAACAACGTCGCGAAAACAACACGAAAAGTTTTGAAAACGTTATTATCTGCCCCTGCTACTGTATCGTATGCCCTTAACTAAAAGACATGAATGAAATGAGATTATTTAAAAGTATTTTTCAACCAACAAATTGTAAACTTGATAAAGTAAATAATTACTGATTTTTAAAGCATTAGGTTATTTGAAACAAGGAGAGATAACTTGTTTTCCAAAATTATATATGATTTTACTTCATTTAGCACTACCACATTAAAATTATCTAATTTTATTGTGGAGTTTTGTTTCTGATATTCAAGATTCATTATTTGACAAAAACTGTAAGATTCACCGAGAAATGCTTATACTTAAAAAAAGATGTGCATAAATGAGATTCTATTAAACAGAAAGATAACAGCAAATATTAACATTTTAGTTGTAATTTACTTGCACATCGGATATTATCCATTCAAAGTTTTTTAACTACTTTTGAAATTTGTACAGTATTTCAAACTGAGGGCTGTTCAAAATGTTTTTGTGGTCCGCGATTGGGAGGCACTAAAATTGATTAATTGTAGATGGTTGCAATTTCTGTAGAATTTTATAACAATTATAAGTCCAAACTAGAGGCTCTAAAGAGCCTGAGTGTTGCTCACCTTGGTGTATGTGCATATCAAACAAAGGACACTCTCCAACATTGTAGATGAGAATAGGACATGGGACATCTTTTTTAAACTAGATACCCTAATGATGATTGTGGCCAAATTTGGTTAAATTTGGTCCAGTAGTTTCAGAGGAGAAGATTTTTGTAAAAGTTAACAACGACAGACGATGACGACAACAGACGACATCGACGACGGACAACAGACGCCAAGTGATGAGAAAAGCTCACTTGGCCTTTAAGGCCAGGTGAGCTAAAATTATATCATTGGTGGTTGTGGTCTAAAAAGTGACTTCTGTACACCCCATGCTTTTATTTCAGGAACAGCCCCGAGCTCTATTGAGTTGTTTTGTTGTTTTTTTAAAAAAATAATCAAATAATTGTATGAAAATATGAATTAACACTTGTCCTGTAATTACCTCTCTATTACAATTTGGAGACTGTGCATATTTTTCTGACACACAACAAATGATGACTTTTGCTCCTCTGATACCATTGTCAATTTTCTCAAATAATTTATCTCCTCCTCCCATCTGACCAATGTCCATCCAACATTCATATCCTGCCATTTGTAGGTGGTTACGGATTAGTTTGACCTCATCCTGATGACCCCACTGGTAACTAAGGAACACAGCAGGAGGGGAGGCGTAATCTACTTCTTCATCTTCTACAACATCAGCTGAACAAAAAAATGTTGATTTTTAACAGAGTATTGTTTGGAGGGAAACTGTTTGAGGTATAGTTGAATCAAACATGGTACCCTCTTTTAGTATTCAATGAAAAAATGGACTGAAATTATCAAGTTTAAAATTAAAACATAACTAAATTTGTATTCTTTTCGAATGGTTTTTTGGGATGTATATGTACACATCCACGTTTATTTTCTATTTAGAAATTGTTTTATCTATATATAACATCATACATATTTATTATAAGGTTAAATCCTAACTATCCTACTGCCTGTCGTTACTTTTATTTTGGCATTGCACAAGTCATGTCTTCTTTGACTGTCCATGACGTTAAAACACTAAATCCCTGCCTGGGATGTAATTTTATTGATTTTAGTCTCTGATGCATGATTCTTTATTATTAATTGTTTTTGGCTTTTAATTACTTTTCAGTAACTTCAAGTACTCTCAAATCATACTTTCGTGTTAATTTGACCTGTTGACACAATTTGTAATGCATTTCTGTTATTCAATGTTTACTTATTTTGTGTTATATCTCGTCTCACTATTTTTTAATATGTACTACCTTTGATAAGTATTTAGTATGACGATAAATTTTCACTTCTGTACTCGTACTGTGAACAACAAATTTATTTTGTAAAAATTGTGTCTGTGCTCCTAATAACAAAATTATTATATTTATATTTACCTGTGTATGATACTTTATTTAACACAATTTTGTCCTAGGTTAAAGTTGTCTTTTCGACATTGTTATATCTTTTTTATTTATATTGTGTCATAGATCAAACTTATTCGTTCAGTGTATATTTACCTGTTTTTGTCTATATGTCTTTTTGATCGAGTTAATCGAGGAGCCTGTTGTTCAGTGGTTGTCGTTTGTTGGTGTGGTTGATAAGTGTTTCTCTTTTCTAGTTTTTTATATAGATTAGACTGTTGGTTTTCCTGTTTGAATTGTTTCACACTAGTCATTTTGGGACCCTTTATAGCTTGCTGTTCGGTGTGAGCCAAGGCTCTGTGTTGAAGGCCTTACTTTGACCTATAATTGTTTACTTTTTACACATTGTGACTTGGATGGATAGTTGTCTCATTGGCACTCATACCACATCTTCTTATTTATATGATTCACAAATGGGGAACCAGAGAAATAGTAATTAAAATTAATCCAAACTAGAGGCTCTAAAGAGCCTGTGTCGCTCACCTTGGTCTATGTGCATATTCAACAAAGGACACTCTCCAACATTGTAGACGAGAACAGAATTCATGACAATAATCTGTTTTGTTGATCTTGTATTGCTGATCATTTAGTCTGTTTAGTGTCCCTTTTTCTTCTTTAGTTTTTGCTCAAAACACAAAAGAGGGTAAAAAAAATCCCTCCATTCGTCTTAATTATAGATCTTGTCTTGCTAATCATTTTTGCTTATTTAAGTTTTTATCTATCTATTATAATTCTTAAGATTGAAGGCAAAAAAGAAAAAAAAGTAAAAATCGTCATCAAAGGGCTAAAACTCTAATGAGAAATCGACTGATGATTTCGACCATGCAGACTTATTTGTAGAACTTGTCATGCTGATCATTTTTGCAATTAAAGTTTCTCTCTATCTATTATAGTTTTCAAGGTAATAGGTAAATATGAACAAAAATGGTAAATTATCATTTAAGGGAAATAACCCCTATAAGAAGTCGTCTATATGGACATTTGGTAGAGCTCATCATTCTGAACTTTTTTGCCCCTGTCAGATTTTCTCTATTTATAACAGTTTTTAAAATAATAGACAAAACTTGCATTTTACCACTATGTTCTATTTTTAGCCATGTCAGCCATCTTGGTTGGCATGCGGGGTCATCGGACACATTTTTTAAACTAAATACCCCAGAGATGATTTTTGGTTAAGTTTGGTTAAATTTGGGCCAGTAGTTTCAGAGGAGAAAATTCTTGTAAAAGTTAACGATGACGACAATTGACAACGGATGCAAAATGATGAGAAAAGCTCACTTTGCCTTTTAGGCCAGGTGAGCTAAAAATGAGGCTTCAATACATCTTTAATCTGCAATCACTTTGTATAAAGTTAGAATAATGTTGAAGGTAAAATGTTTATAACTTAAGTATAAGCATAGAAAAAGGCAGGACAACTTTAACAATATTTCAAAGAAAAATAACAGATGAAAGACATTTAAACATTTTAAGTGTTTAAAAGCCATCATCTATCATGTTATGACATGTTTAAAAATCTTTGCTATTAAACTAACTGAAAGCTATCATAACATAATTACTCTTTATATTACACATTTCTTGTGTAGTATTTTCTACCATTATTCCTATTTGCTCTAAATATAAAATAAAAATGATTCCACTTTTCTCCTGCCTTTATAACATTTTCTACAAAGGCAGCACCATCTATCACGTTACTTAGTATGAGTAATTTCCCTTACCGACTGCCTTCATAGCATTTTCCACAATAGCAGCACCATCCATTCGGTTCATTTCCTGTAAAGCTGTTAATACAGCATAGTTTGCCTCCCTTGTTTTGTGTGTAACATACCATTCACTGAGAACAGCCATACAAGGATCATGTTGTGATGCCCACGCTCTGATGTCATCGTTACTGTAACCAAGACGTTGGGCCAGTAATCTCCAATCATGTTCTGTTTGTGGATTCATTATCTTTGTTAAATCTCTTGACCATCGAGGTGCATTGGTCATTGTCTGAAATGATGAAATTAATCAACTGCTATAAACATCTAAATTTTTAAAAGATATTTGTAAAAGTTATGAAGGAACTGGTTCAGTATTTTTGTCTTCCCATAATATTGCTATAACAAATCTTACATAGGTTTTTTTTCAAAATATTTATGTTCTTTCTAAAATATCAAAATATTAGTTTTAAACCTAATTTCAATATACATATAAATACCTTCATGTCAACTTCTTCCACTTTAATTTTCATCTCCTCAATATCTTTCTCAGCAAAGTCTACCCTCTGAGTGACAGTATCTAGCCCCTCCCCTAATTCCTCAATGTTTTCATCATGTTCATCTATTCGAGTGGTCAGTCCTACTACAGCCACCTCTGTGCCGGTCACTCTTTCGTCTAATTGTTCCACATCCTCCTGAGTTTCTTTCACATCTTGGGCTACTGTTTCCAAACTGAAGTTGTAAATTATACATGGGAGTATGATTAACAGGCATATGCATGTGCAAGTACCACAAAAATATTTACATGAAAGGTGTAAAGGTAAACAACTGTATATCTGGGTTTTTTTCTTGTGTGTTTAATTTTTGCTTTGTTCTCGGCAGCAAAAGAAACACAAAAATTTAACTCAGCGTAAATTTCCTAAACTATTTTCACAAATTGCCTTTTCTGTGATGTCATAACTTCATTTACTATGCATCATTTATCTAAATCTAACGTTCCTAATTTTGAAATCACTTAACTTTAAAAGAGACATAAATGGAATTTAAAATAATAAATTCAAATAATGCTCTTATTACACCCGATCCTTTGACTACTTGTATACAAAATTTGGTCATATTTATTTTCTAGCTTAAGCTTACCTTCTTCCTTCAATTTGATCAATCAATGCAACTATCTGTTGTTGAATAGTTGTACTTTGTTCATTCTGTTTTTTTTGTGTAAGATAGTCCATATGTGGACCAAACATTTCTGGTCCATAAATCACACACAGATCACGTAGTCCTATCAATGTTACTGTAACCTGAGTAATATCTGTAGCTACCTTCAACACACTCATAAGATAGTTGAAAACAGGATCTTTGAATTTCTGTTGAAAACAATGTACATTGCAATCTCTAGCTATTTATAAACAAATGGATCTACTGAATGCAATTTAATGTATAACAGAGCGAAATAAGATTCATATAAAATCCTTAATCTGTTACTCGACTGTGCAGTTTGAAACATCTAACCAAACTGATCAATTGATTACAAAATCAAAGCGCGAATGCACTGTAAAGGCAGTTACCTAAAGGTCGTGTGATTTTACAGTCCAGATTGATTATAATCATGTTTAAACATGTACATCTTACAGCTATTCCATACACCAAATATAGATGACCTATTACTGACGGTAATTGGGGAAAAAAGACCAAAACACAAAAAATTGACAATGACAAACGAACCATGAAAATGAGGTCAAAGTCAGATGATACCCACAAGACCGACATGTACACCTTACAATCATTACATACACCAAACATAGTTGACCTATTGCTTATAGTACCTAAAAAATCAGACCAAAACACAAAAACTTAACATTGACCAATGAATCATGTATATGAGATCAAGGTCATATGATACCCGCAAGACCGACATGTACACCTAACAATCATTTCATACACCAAACATAGTTGACCTATTGCTTATAATACCTTAAAAAACAGACCAAAACATATAAACTTAACATTGACCAATGAACCATGTATATGAGGTCAAGGTCAGATGATACCCGCAAGACCGACATGTACACCTTACAATCATTTCATACACCAAACATAGTTGACCTATTGCTTATAATACCTAAAAAAAACCGGACCAAAACATAAAAACTTGACATTGACTAATGGACCATGAGAATGAGTTCATGGTCAAATGATACTGACACGAAAAACATGTACACTTTACAACCATTCCATACACCAAATACAGTTGACCTATAAATGTTTATAGTACTCAATAAACAGAAAAACAGACCAAAACACAAAACCTTAACATTGACCAATGAACTAAATGTATGAAAATGAAAAATACACCATATATAGTTGACCTACTGCTTTTCGTATCTGAGAAACGGACCTTATCACGTAACTTAAACCTTGATCACTGATCCATGAAATGAGGTTGAGGTCAGATGGCCCTGTCTGAGGGACAAGTAGACATTGCAAATTATTGAACCCATATACCAAATATAGTCAGAGGCAGATTTAGGGGGGGGGGGGGGGGGCAGGGTGCCCGGGCCTCTCCTTTTGTGGAAAAAAATTGGTTGATTATAGAGGGAATCACTGAAGCATGACTTGAGCGGGCCCCCTCTTAGACAGTCAGTGGGCCCCCCTCCCCCTTATGAAAATTTCTGGATCCGCCACTGATAGTTATCCTATTAATCATAATAAGTGAGAAATGCACATGACAAAAAAACTTAAATTTTTTTAAGCAATCACTGCTGCACCATGAAAATGAGGTCAAGGACAATGTACATATGATGGTCGGAAACTTCGTGATATAAGGTATCCGCATACAAGGTAATGTATGAAGCTAACAGTTCTTCCACCTTCTGAAATATGAAGCTTCATTCAAATAGTTTACCCCGCCACAGGATAGTAATCCCCATGTCTTGCATACTACAAATTTCGTCACAGGCATGTAAAACTAGAGGCTCTAAAGAGCCTGTGTCGCTCACCTTGGTATATGTGCATATTAAACAAAGGACAAAGATGGATTCATGACAAAATTGTGTTTTGGTGATGGTGATGTGTTTGTAGATCTTACTTTACTGAACATTCTTGCTGCTTACAATTATCTCTATCTATAATGAACTTGGCCCAGTAGTTACAGTGGAAAATATTTTGTAAAAATTTACAAAAATTTACAAAATTTATGAAAAAATTGTAAAAAATTGACTATAAAGGGCAATAACTCCTTAAGGGGTCAATTGACAATTTTGGTCATGTTGACATATTTGTAGATCTTACTTTGCTGTACATTATTGCTGTTTACAGTTTATCTCTATCTATAATAATATTCAAGATAATAACCAAAAGCTGCAAAATTTTCTTAAAATTACCAATTCAGGGGCAGCAACCCAACAACGTGTTGCCTGATTGGTCTGAAAATTTCAGGGCAGATAGATCTTGACCTGATAATCAGTTTTACCCTATGTCAGATTTACTCTAAATGCTTTGGTTTCAGAGATATAAGCCAAAATCTACATTTTACCCCTATGTTCTATTTTTAGCCATGTCGGCCATCTTGGTTCGCGGGCGGGGTCATCGGACACATTTTTTAAACTATATACCCTAATGATGATTGTGTAAAAGTTTGGTTAAATTTGTCTTAGTAGTTTCAGAGAAGATTTTTATAAAAGATTACAAAAATTTACGAAAAATGGTTAAAAATTGACTATAAAGGGCAATAACTCCTTAAGGGGTCAACTGACCATTTTGGTCAAGTTGACTTAATTGTAGATCTTACTTTGCTGAACATTATTGCTGTTTACAGTTTATCTCTATCTATAATAATATTCAAGATAATAACCAAAAACGACAAAATTTCATTAAAATTACCAATTCAGGGGCAGCAACCAAACAACGATTTGCCTGATTGGTCTGAAAATTTCAGGGCAGATAGATCTTGACCTGATAAACAATTTTACCCCATGTCAGATTTGCTCTAAATGCTTTGGTTTCAGAGATATGAGCCAAAAACTGCATTTTACCCTATGTACTATGTTTTAGCCATGTCGGCCATCTTGGTTCCCGGGCCGGGTCATCGGACACATTTTTTAAACTATATACCCTAATGATGATTGTGGACAAGTTTGGTTAAATTTGTCTTAGTAGTTTCAGAGGAGAAGATTTTTGTAAAAGATTACAAAAATTTACGAAAAATGGTTAAAAATTGATTATAAAAGGGTAATAACTCCTTAAGGGGTCAACTGACCATTTTGGTCAAGTTGACTTAATTGTAGATCTTACTCTGCTGAACATTATTGCTGTTTACAGTTTATCTCTATCTATAATAATATTCAAGATAATAACCAAAAACGGCAAAATTTCCTTAAAATTACCAATTCAGGGGCAGCAACCCAACAACGGATTGTCAGATTCATCTGAAAATTTCAGGGCAGATAGATCTTGACCTGATAAACAATTTTACCCCATGTCAGATTTCCTCTAAATGCTTTGGTTTCAGAGATATAAGCCAAAATCTACATTTTACGCCTATGTTCTATTTTTAGCCATGGCGGCCATCTTGGTTGGTTGACTGGATCACCGGACACATTTTTTAAACTAGATACCCCAATGATGATTGTGACCAAGTTTGGTTAAATTTGACCCAGTAGTTTCAGAGGAGAAGATTTTTGTAAAAGTTTACGGACGACGGACGCAGGTTGACGGACGCAAAGTGATGAGAAAAGCTCACTTGACCTTTCAGGTCAGGTGAGCTAAAAAACCACAATAATTGTAGAAAATAATATAAAAAGAAGATGTGGTATGATTGCCAATGAGACAACTCTTCACAAGAGACCAAATGACACAGAAATTAACATCTATAAGTCACCCTACGGCCTTCAACAATGAGCAAAGCCAATACCACATAGTCAGCTATAAAAGGCCCCGAAATGACAAATGTAAAACAATTCAAACGAGAAAACTAACGGCCTAATTTATGTACAAAAAAATGAACGAAAAACAAATATGTAACACATCAACAAACGACAACCACTGAATTACAGGCTCCTGACTTGGGACAGGCACATACATACAGAAAGTTGAGATTACAAGAAATTTTGTTTCTAAAATAATAATTTGAACACTAAAAAATTTTTTTTAAAAATGTCCATGCCCAAAACGCCTGTGCATTAACTTAAAAACGAAAATGTCGACAAGGTAAAAACTCTCTAGATTTATTCTAGTGTATGCAAAATAACAGATACATCAAGTTATATGGTCATGATCATACGTGTATGGTCCAAATACTCATATAGTCCGGAACAGGTATACAAGCCTGTGTTTGTGTATGGAGAACTTTGTCTGGCATGTCAGCGATTCTAAAGGTAGAGAATAGGGTAAATGAATTGTAAAATAGAAAAACAAAGGATATGGGGTATCCATCGTTAACTTACTACTCAAATACTTTAATATATATTAGCTATAAAAGCAATGTCTATATGACATTGACAAATGTTGTTTAACAACTGAAGCACTGGTCTTGGAACAATGGGTCATGTAAGAAGTACAAGCTGGCTGCCTGTAATACACTTGACTCTGTACTAAAGTAATCCTAATCCTTGTAACAGTTTGTGTAGTTGTTTATCTAAACACTGAGAGGCTGTCAATTGTCTTTGAGTCATTGCTGAAGGTCCTAAATGTCCACATTGGAGTGTGAAATAGTGAGCATTTCTTTGCTGAGTTGTAAGTTTATCAATTTTTTTGGCATCAAAACCTTCTGATTGATGTTTTGACAACAAGATTCCACTTTTCTATCAATGCCATTATTTACTTTGAATAATCATCTCTTGCATGTGCCATAAATAGAAGCCATACCAAGCGTTTAATATTCGATCACCTGTTGTTTGTTCAATCAAACTATTATCACTTGTTAATTAGCATTGGGCCAGGGTTTAAATCAACGAAAGTTTCGTTCGGTACTCTCTGGTTTTTACATCTTCAATTTATATAGGTAAAAACATGAGTGTATCGTGTCTGCATACATTCCTATAAAAATCTGTAATTTGTCGAAAATGTAAAGTGTGGCTCCCCATTACCCACAGAATCCACAAGAATTGGTATCCAACGAATAATAATGAATCCACAGTAAGCTATTTTTCTGTTTTTGTATATACAACACTAAGGTATTTATAAATCCTTTGCTTTGTTTGGTTTTGAGTGCATGCGCTGTTCCTGATTCAGCATGAAGTAAGTGTAATTTTGTTTGTAAAAAAAATTCAAAAACTTTCTATTACACTATAAGACCTTATTTTTGAAACAAGAAATTATTCTAGTCTCTTAAATAATG